TGTGTGTCACCTGTCTCTGCCCCCACCATCGTCTCTGCAGTCCTGTCATCTGGGAATCACTCTACCCACCGGTATTTTATCGTTCTGATCGGTTTAACTTCTTAGCTTTTTATCAAATTTTATCATCTAGTTCCACGACCGTAACTAAGCTGATTGTCGAGCTCCCATGCCCTATTTGATAAAACATTCTTCTGCTTTTATACATCTCATTACCACAGAGATGATATTGTCCACGAATTTCATGTGTTCTCACTCAGATNCATGCCTCCGAAAGCCTCAGTATGGCGAGGGTGAGTGTCTAGGATTGTGACTGGACACTCTTCTCTTGAAGTGTTGGACAAGTGAATCAGAAGTTGTCGAATTTCGTTGCCTAGCCTGAACACACCCCATAATCAGAGATCCAATCACGCAACTGCATTGTCCCCTACACCCTCAGTTAAACTGACGTGTTTTTTCCATATGCTGTAGGAACTTGAATGATGCCCGACAAAGTATCATCGGACACCGGTACTGTCCGTTTGAATCCTCGTCAGCAAGGCGTGATATTTTGTGTCCCTGTCGGGATTCGAACTAGAAACAACTGAGTGAAAGAAACCGACACCCAAGACCATTCGCCTGATGCCTGTAAACCATTCAATGAGCTAACGCAAACAAAATTATCGAATTATCTGTTTGGTGATAGACCTAATAGTAGAAGGTTGTGTTTGGAAGAAATCGAGCGAAGTTCATGACGGATATCAACCCTGGCCTCATGAGGTTACGTGCAACGTTTTAGGTAACAACGGTCGCCCACTGGATCAAGTGGTCAATCTCCATAGATTACGTTGGTTGGGATAGGTGTTTCGCATGCCACGGCGCACGACGTTTACCGAGGTAGGTAGTGGGTGGAAAAACGTGAAGGGTAGTCAAATCTAGCATGAGAGTATCAGAACCCCAACCGGAAGACTCGGTCACATAGATCGGGTTAAGCTTCCTCCTTGGATGGTGACCTTGGGATCATTATAGTCCACGATTAGAGCCATCGAGTGGTACGGCTGAGTGTCGTAAACAGTGGTTTAAGTGCATCGCCTCAATCACTTTACAACCGTAGTCCACTCTATTTTCAACCTTTCCTGTCTTTCTCCTACTGCTTCATCCAAATCGGCAGGCAAAAGACAGCAACTAAAATTGGCGTACGAAAGTGCATGATTGTAAAAACTGACAACTGAAACATGTCTTTTAGGGTTAATGAAATACATACATCCAGTTTTTTCCAATAGAAAGAAATGAAATATACGTTCTAAGCGAAATGAGAGCGCGTGCAAAATCGCCAACCAATATTGATTCCATTTTATTTCGGTTTCCAAAATGCTATCTGCAAACCTCAGTTTCAGGATCCGTAACTTCAGACATAATTTCTGGGTTGTGTAGAGGCTATTCATTATCTGATTGGTTCACTATGTGAGACGAGAATAGAAGCAGATTGGCCTTATGTTTGTTTAGCTGTGTAAACATTGTAACTGTTTTGATTAAAAAGATCAAATCACTACAGTGTGTTTGGACTCAGGGAGAACACACCACCCACAGAGATTTATAGGCCAGTCGGAAAGACATGTGGATGACGCAGTTTCGATCACGTGATGACCACCAAAATTCAAGGTCATCAACGAACGGAATGGTAACGGATGAACGGATCCAACGCGTGGGCGGGACGAAGGGGATAACAAATGAATCCAGACTTTACCATGACGAAAGGTGATATATTCGTTCAATGAAATGAATCAGTTAGATCGAAATGGAAAAAAGAACCTCTTCAGATCAACGGATTGTAGTTCACGAAAACGTCAATCCCCCAGGACAAAAAGTGCTAACACATAGAATGTTTTCTATTTAACACATTGAGGACTTGAGCGACATGTACCGATCGATAGATGTTCGCACATTCGAACAGAGCAAGTGGTTCTACGATTGTAAAAATCGATTATTCCTGAGTCCCATTGCGAAGACAAATACAAATACAACTCATCTAAACGCGGCTCGGCTCAATCTTTACCACATCTTTGGATTAGACAATGCGTGATATATGTGCACTGTGAACTGTTCGATTGCATTTGTATAACCATTGGAGCTGATTTAACTAACTCGTTTACAGTCATGCGTTTTAACATTGAGCAAATTCGCTTCGGAGCAGGCATTTTGTTTCAATAAATGCATCAGTTGGCCGCTTGGAATGGAGAACTGACAGGGATTAGTACAGGATAAACAATGCTCCCGGTTATATTGTTTGAATATTTTCCACCTGTTTTGTATTGTTCTCTTACGGGTTTTATTCATGTCTTTGAATGTTAATTTGATCAAGAGACATTTCCATTTCAATGTACCGCTTTACTATTTTTTGGTAATTTTCACATCAAATCTCGGGTTTTTCTCATTCGTAAAGTGTCTTATGACTCTATTGTGCTATCTGTCATTTCAAAACATCTACTCTTTCGTAGTCTGTTTTAGCCCTTAAATGAAAAGTTTTTAACAGGATCCATCCAGCCAAAGAGAAACCTCGAACTCTGTTTTAGGTACCAAATCTCCTTGCTGTCTAGAACACTCACTTCCTTCTTGATGAAGTGATATATTTTGTCAGATGTACTGACCAAGTGTTCTCAGATTAAACGCTTGAATACTCCCATGACAGCATTGAGAAAACGAGTCGGTGAGCAAACTATTGTTTTCGGATATTCCTAGTCATGCTCATCATATGGTGGAAAAAAATTCTTACATAATCACAGCCATTGGCTCATTTTAAAGTCAATATTCGGAGGTAGAGAGTAATGTGTGTGTGTGTGTGTGTGTGTAGGAAACTAACATGTTCTCAAATTGCTTGCTACTTCTTGGGATGGGGTGCGGGGTGGGGTGGGGTGAGAAAAACCTAGCTCTCTATCCATGAACTGCTCCCAAGCGATACGCCCCTTAAATCGGGGGTTTTACCCCAGTAAAGTGGGAGGGAGGCTCATGTTCGAGGTTATATTTGGAACGATGAACAAGGGAAGAATAGCTAGCTCATCTGGTTAAGCTGAAAAACTCAGAGTGAAAATCTTGCATGGAAGAGTCGAACTAGCTGGATCCAGACTATCCTCGGTGTGGAGCGGTCTACTGGACTAGAACATTGAAAGTAGGCATTTATCATAATAAACCTTTAATTGCTCAGTGGAATATACTTAGCAGTCAACACCTGTGAAATACCCAGGACGTAAGATTTAACTGAAGGAACATGGTCCCTCCCCCGCAAAGAAATACGCACTTCTCACCGTCTCGATCCTTCGAAGAATTGAACTCGGCTAACCAAAGATGCACTCGTACCACTAATCCGCGTTGGAAGTAGATGGTTTGTAAGGAATGGCTATTGGTGTATATCCATCCGTTCAAACCTGAAAATCCACAATTGAGTACCACACGTTAATACTATGATCTCTACCCAGACTAGTTTCCGGGATTGTTGTTACGGTGAAATCTCATGACATGGTGCCAACCTGTCTAGTCCAGTGAATACTTATTGATATATTCAATCGGTGGCAACGTCAGTCCCCCTTCCGGAAAATCGTATCATAATAGATTCAATAGGAAGTAAAATTGAAGATTACAAAATTCCGTCGAGTTTTCTGCCATTGCACTATTTATTGATAAACATACCTGCTTTCCGGATGCAGGATGACTGTTGCTAGGAGGCGGTAGATTTGTCGGTCGATTGGTAGATATGGATTTGGGCGGAACATTGGCCAACGGCTCACTCCCACGACTTTTGTCCTCTGATGCAACCTCGGCCCAATCGGTATCGGAGTAGACGAATTTGAGCAGTAAAGATTTGCCTAACTGAAGCACGCTATCTGGTGGCACTAGGATCGGACCGGTAATACGATTCCCATCCATACGCATCGCGGCCGGACCAGGTGGTTTAGCGAAACCGTCGAGGGACGGACTGACAAGCAAGGATTGATACGTGTTTGCAGTGAGCTCATTTGAAGGTCCACCTTTTGGAATACGAAGTCGCGAGGCACTGGTACTGGCTTGAACAACACTGAAAGTGCAATGAACTGGTCGAATATCCTGGTGACGCATCTAAATCGAGCAAAAGTCATTTCAGAAATGGAAAAAGAGGGTTAAACGTGAAAACGGAGTCTGAAGGATGCTGAGTTCAAAACAGTACCATAGATCCCGCATTACTACTCATAAATCAGTAAGTAGTGTGAATTAAAAGAACTGTGACCTAGCAGATTACATCGGGAATGTACACCGGAATTTGCAAGGAAGGCCCTATCTGAAGGAAGACTTTTGATTACAGATAATATACTGTCCCCTTAAGTTGCTGTCGGACCAAAACTGAAATGATTAAGTGTCCCTGAAGACGATATCTGAAGAAACATGAATTGGCAATTCCGGTCCGGGTGATACGAGCTGGTTAGCACAATGGCTACATACAAACGTCACATACGATAGGTTCCGAGTTCAAAGACCAGGCGGAACTGATGAGCTATAACGAGAGCGAAACTTGAGTCTAGTGCTGACTGAGTGTACAGTTGTTTGGATGAGCCGAGAATTGTATGTGAAGATGAGGTCTGAAGGAGGATCAGTTGTAATCCATTTTATTTAACACACACCACAAACAATTGTGAGTCAGATGCAGATTGAAAAAAGGAAATGTCAAAAAGAGGAGATGTGGATTCAAACAAAATTTTTGAATTATCTGTTGAATCATCGGTGTCTGGAATTTGTCAAATACAAAAAAATTGTCAGTCTATACTCAGACTCCAAATCCGCTTTCGCGCAAATTTCGTTATACACAATGCTTTATGCGAATATAGTGCAGGTTGCTCAAGAAATTCCGCTACATTCTCAAACTTTCAGTTACAGAGTGTTTAATATGGAAGGATTAGAAAAACGTCGCTAAAATTACACTGCATGATTACCTTTATAAACTTAATAGGGGGTGAATATCCGATTTGAGGACATGTTTGAGATACATGGACAGATATACAACCCAGTCAATGAAAATGTATTCAACAACCCACAAAGATTTTACGTAACACCAGTGTACGGTGAAACACACGCAAATTGTTATTCCGTTTATTCGTAATCTTCAATTCTGACAGTTACGTCTTTTTTCCCTATATTATGTATCCCAACCCCTCCCCCGTCCCGCGTTATTGTTATTGTTATTATTGTTATTGCGTTGGCACCATGTTTGTTCTCAAGCCGGTGCTAGGTGGGAGGTAGTGGCCCGGTGGAAACGTCACAAAATGAACACCCCGGGGGGGGGGCTGTGTGTTCGAATCCCACCACCACCACTGCCTGACTTTCCCCATTTGTGTGTTGAACGGCAGCTCTTTGATTGGCCGCTTCCTCCTGCCTGAAAATTGCATCTTTGTATATTCAGTAAAAGAAAGTGAAATGAAAAATAAAATTGAAGAAAAAAGTGCATAGATAAAACATGTGAAGGCGTGGACAACGGTGGACACAGAGGGGGGACGGGGTAAAATTCGTATCAAGATCACTTCAATTATTTTTTATTGCGATTAGATTTCCTGAGTTTTGCAATGCACATGAACTAACAGGATTCGGTCAACGAATGAATCCGGATTAACTCTTCCGTGCGGAAAACCAATTTGTCGGAGATGTGTACTGGTTAGTGAATGATGCACACTGTTTTCCGTGACTTGATTAGGACTCCCACACGGATAATGGATCGAAACATTGATACACAGTACCGCAGTCGTCTGAAGCGATCGATACCACACCATTGCATCTCTTATCATTTTAGGGCATGAAGATTTGCTAATCGATACGAAAACAGTTATCAAAGTAGCGTTTCCTTGTAAGGAGTATGGGTATGGGAGAATGGGTATTACTCGCGTCTAGCCCACCGCCATCACTTACTCGATCGACTAGGATATTAGGCGGAGGACCGACCATTTTGTCAATGGTACCCAATTTGATCGAACCGACATAGAGCCGATCAAATAGATCAATCAATGGAACGATTAATCCGTTCTCACAGGGTGCTTGATCCTTTTCCGAGGACACTTCAATCAAATAGGGTAGCAGATCACGTGCGGGCCTAGTGCTGTGCTGTGCTCCCGCAGTGGTGGATCGGGAACGACCGCGTTGCGGTGGACATCGTGGATGTGCTGGTGCCGCCGCTGGTGGACGACGTCCGTCTCGGCCGGGATTGGATCGATGTCGAATTTGGAACACACAGGAAATTCCCTCGTGCTGTGTTAATTGTGCTCTGGTACGCAATGGACAATCCAGTTGGTGTAAGGTGATTTCCCGTTCCAAGTCCATTCTGCAATATAATGATAGAACAGAGTGTTGTATTTCACTCGTACTGTGTTGTAGAATACGAATTTCTAAGAGAGTTATCAGAAAATGAATCTGGCTAAAACAACGAACCTCTCTTTTTCTGATGTGATTTGCCGAAATCGATAAATGTGACTTGGAGTGAACAGCTGAGTATAGTAAACCTCAGGAGGTCAAATGGAAGTATGCGCTCTGGAACATCCAGTGAACCCCATAGAGACCGCTAGACTTAGTTCTTTCTGAGGTGTGTCCGCTACTGGGACAGGCACTTAGAAAACAAAAAGAAATAATTTTAAAATCTGAATAAAATATTATTCGATTTCGCTACTGAAAATGAAACAAACGAACTTTCTATAACAATTTATCAAATGAATCTATCATTAATTGTTTTTCACATTGTTGTCTCTGGTATGGTATGGACAGTCTGTTTCGGAGATAAATTCTATAAAAGATTCGATTCCTTTTCATCGTTGCACCTTCAGTGTTTCACCTCAAGTGACCAGGAGTTCTATTATCAGTTACTATGTTTTGGATAAACATTACTTTCACATTGTTGCTTGGCAGATTGAAGTATTACGTTGAAACTGTGAATTGTTCATTAGCCTCGGTGGGATTCGAACCCACGCATGAATGCCACCTACACTTTGGACAGCGCACAGTCCACCAGCCGAGCTACGAGGCCACATCGAGAGCATAGATCTTTTCACAATCAACTTTCAGAGTCATATGGGATCTAACAGGTAGCGTATAAGCTTCCGTTGAAAAATGGAGAAGGTATAAATGAAGTAGAAAACCCAGATAAAAATGTGGATAAACCAAGTGTGCGTATCAAAGTGACACAATACCCGAGCCCCACGGTCTAAGACACTTAGCTATGTTAACCAGTTTTTAGTTGGAGGTAGGCAAGTACTTAATCCCATCATAACAGGGACCCGATTGTCAGGATGTCAAATACTACCACCACCACTGCCATCTATCTTCCCAATCTGCATTTGTTTGGACTATAGCTCCCTGTCATGAGATTCACTATCTCATTTCAAACTGTTGGCACAAATGCGAAACTATTCGTGTATAGGTCTAGCGAGTTGTTTAGACCTTTACGCAAAATTCACAAAATACAACGAGATGCAATCAGACAACGTCAGTTTGTGAACGGTGCTCAGTTCACTGTCATTCACACCGGATATGTTTTGAACCACGAAGGGCATACTCGTATTTTGAGGATTTATTACAACAAACTATAGTTACGTTTCACTACTACTAACTGCACGATATGGTATACGGTACGAATCACACACACACACCTTCCTGGTTCTGATAGTGATCACCGGCTCAATTGGGCAATTGGGTACCTTGGACGTTTGACCCCTTCGAAAGGGCGTATGATCCAATGAACTGAACATCGACCCCCAATGGACTGCGGACTCTGAGCTCCGTCCGGTTGTCATGCCGGTCTGGCTTTCTGGCCAAGGCTTCATGTGGCGACCCTGAATACACCTCCGACATAACGTACTGTTCGACCAGGGCAACTGGGAAGTAACATGCCCACAAACCTATGAACACATTCCTCCTATTTCTTTCTGTTCATATATTGTGGCACATTTGCCAGTTTTCTGTTATTCGTCACGTGTTGAATGAATGAATGAATGAATGAATGATAGTATACAGTAGAACTCATGTGTACAATCTTGTTAACCATATTATGCAATAAAGATCATTTTCAGATGTTCTACTGAACGCTCAAAAACGGCACAGGAGAGTTCCCAATATCTTATTGGGTACCATTGCATGCTATTTTAGGAGATCAGCATGTGACCGGTATGGGTAAGACAAACAATACCTATTTCGATCGATTGGTTTTTCTCTCTCTAAAGTGAGCGTGTCAGACCATAAACAGCCAGCTGTTGTTTCTCACACAATAACTCTCATCCACAAGGCGCCAAAAACCGCAAATTCTGACGGCTAGACACTTTTTCAATGCGAAAACGAAAGCGCAACAAGGTGCTCTTCTGTCTGGATGAAGAATGCTAACTGAACAAAGGAAAATAGTTAATCGCATGAACGAACCGTAACGGTTGGGATGGGATGAGTACGACAGAAATGAGAAGACCACAGACTGACAACTTACGGTAACCGTTCTCCTCGTGGTGGTATATGCATTTGCACAAGACAATAATCACGTGCATTGACTTGATTGGCCAATCCGTACTTTTCCAAGGTCCATGTGACCACAGTTTGTGCCGTGTCGTTCGAATTTAATTGTAATGTAATGTAAGGTAAATCACTGTTCAATGTATCCCCGTGGATTTTCACATTGTTTGCTAATTTGATCCATCCGAAGTGAGTGATTATTGTCGAGGGTGGAGAGGGTTGGAGAGGGGAAACAAGAGACGATAAATTTCAAACTAAATTAGGATGAAAAAATTCACACGATAAAAACTCCAGATTTAGAGATACAAAAGCCGACTGATCAAAAAAAAAGGAAACGAAAAAAAAAAACAAAACAAAACACGCAAGCGGTTTCATTCTCATGCAACCAAAAATTTCTTTCTTACTTCAGAATCATGAAGCCGATTTGGAATCTTGTCATGAAGATAAAAATCCCGGACTGGTTTTATTACCCGAACCCGTTAAAAAAAAATAAAACGTCTGAACACACTGCATTGTTTGTGGACAAACGAGAGGACTTTTTTCCGACCGGTAAACGGAAATCTCATACATCTCGTTCAGTGTGTCACTCTAATAGACAATCGTGTGCCCGATTTGGTTTCAACACATTCCTCCCAACCCGATTGGTCATCCATATCCGGCTGTAGATTAACATTCCGTGGGGAAATGCGCTTACCTGTTGCCAGGTATAGAGTTGGGCAGTCAGTGTAGTGAGTGGGGTACGCGTAAAAGGTGAGGCAAAGCGACAGACTTTAGATGAAAGTGTTTCCCTACTTTGAGCGCGAACACACACACACACAGAAAACGGTACCTATGTTACTAATGTATCAATCATCCCAAAAAACCGGTACTGACAACATTTTCCCCGGAAGTTCCGCAGTCCAAAAAGCGAATCCTTTGAATGAGTAGGTGAAAAATTTTCCTGGACAGAAGAGTAAATTAGATAGGACAAGACTAAACAAAACGGGACTAACAATAACCCTTATTTGAGAGACTGGTGATACAAAACTTCGGACAACTCACGGAATTGGTGGCCACACACGCGCACACCTAATACCAGTTGCACGTGTTTCTGTGTTTCAGATAGAATTTTCTATTCTAATACCCAGGATCAACAATGCTGACAGAGCTGTATGCACCTGAGATATTCCTTGATGTGTATATACCCACATCTGCTTTTATATGTGTATGTGTATGTATGTACATTTGTGTATGCATCTGTCCAGTTTTCTGACCAACAATTTGTCTATCTTTTCACCTTATTGATACCATCAACTATGCTAATTTACCAATCCCTTTGGATACCACACTGATTTGCATAGAAACACATAACACATTTGGTTGTTTTGTCTGAAATACGATCGAGGCCAAAACCGAGTAGAAGGAGAGTTGATTGTTCAAGTCCAATCATAACCTGATCAATAAGGAACAGATCGAACAGAATATACGGTAGATAAGTGCAGATTTCCATCCAAGAATACAATGTGCTAAGCACTGGTCAAAATACACGCACCCAGGCACATACATAGATGCACACATTTGCGTATAGTATTCTAGACACAAAAGTGTTTTGGACGGGAATACGAACAGAGATGGCACAACTAACAAGCTATCCATACAAAACATAGATCACCCAATTGGTGACTCAGTTATAGACGGAAGCCAACTTTGTGCTGTCAACAGCTGAGTTCCGACCCCGCTACCGAACAAAACATCTATTGGCCGATTGGTGCGACGAATATCCCGGTAATGATGATTACAACTACTACGAGGTTACACCGGGCTCGAATGCAGCCAAGTTCTGTTGTGTACCAGTATTGAGAACCTCATGGCGGTGGGTTTCCCTATGTGCACACACTCAACAATGTCGGGGTTTTTACAGCTAGGTTTTTTTTTAATGTTAGATAACAATTAAACCTAATATCCGGATTGTTGACCAGAGAGTGGTATCTGTGGGGGCGAGAAATATTTTGCCTAATGCCCCGCCCACGCCACCCGACTTCCCACATCGCGTCAACATGAGTTTGCTGACGGATTAGAAAGATTTGTCATCAAGATATAAAAGTATAGAAGAACAAACAAACAAACAAACCAATCTCTTCCGCTGAGAGACACTTTTATGATTCACTGTAACCGTTCTTCCATCATGACACGTTCAACAATTCCGGGGAGAAAAATAAGATCAAGAAACTAAAAAAAAACAATTGCTGGTTTGAAGCATTTGGTCCACCTTATCCATTTCATCAATATAGAAAGAAGACAAATGTCGCGAGATGTCAACATTTCCTTCAATCTTCTCAATCGCTTACTTCAAATAAACAAGAATATATATATATATCTACATACATATATACATATATGTATATATAGCACACGGGGTTATTCAGTTATGGTGAATGAACGTGTACAAGCATACAAAAATCACTAAACATAGAAGTAGAAGGTTAACTCCACGGAAAGTGTATTACCAGTTCACTGGCAATATATGGGTGAACTGACAACAGATTACCGGATACGCATGCCTGACCGAGCAGCGAAAGCCGCGAAACCGGTCGTACGCTTCCAGGGAAATTTTGTCCAGTCATTCACATACAACTTACTTCTTATGAAATATTCTACCAAGACCATCAGGTCACGTTTGTTGCGGTTAGTAGCATCTAACCCACTTACAAAAAAAAACATCGAATCACAGCATTGATTCTTCATTGGACTGGCTCTGAAAGAGCTCTCTATCCAATGGTTACCCGGTGTTGCAAACAAGGTTATTGTGACGAATATATATATATGCTTGTTTGTTTTAGCTAAGCGATTGAGAAGATTGAAGGAAATGTTAACATTTCGCGACATTTGTCCTCCTTCTATATTGATATATATATATATATATATTTCACACTTGTCTGAGGACAGACTGTATGCCCAACAAATCATGGCACAATAATCTTTATAAAAAGAAAAATGTTCCATGATTGGCTTGTGGGCTGAGTACTGCCAGGTTGCCCAGGCCAAGGCAGGTGAATTTTCTTGAGGAATCCACAACCGGAGCCTTCGGCTAGCCAAAGCCTGACCCGCAAGGCAGCGGGGCGGTGTGCGAAAACCGCAGTCCACTGGAAGCCGGTGTCTAGTTAATCGGATCATACGCCCTTCGGACGGGGTCAGACGTCNACACCTCAATGCCCAATCGAGCCGGTGACCACTGCCACAACCGAAAAGGTGTGGGTGTGGTTCGTACGTCTCCTCATGGTAGGTTTGGAATCAGGGTTTTTGGCCAACTCCCCTAGGTGAACTGCCAGTGGTCCACCAACCCGGCTATAGCCCCGGATATCGGCTTTTCGTCCTCTCACTTTGGTGGGAAAACACCTTCGCCGAGAGAAGGCAGTGAGTAGGGCTTCCTCAGCAGAGGCTATTTGAGACGCTTGGTCGTATGGGGGCATTTCGTGAGGTGCAAGGGCAGGGTGACCAGCCGCAACCCTAGACACCCACCCCCAACCATACTGAGGCCTTGGTTCTATTCATTGATCAGACGTTTGGTGCATTCTGAACCGTTACGATCCAAACTCAACGTGGTGTAGAACTTCTGTGTAAATTCAAAACAAGTCTGTCCTAGCAACATGTAAGACCTGACTAGGAATCGTGAATGATTTTAACTCAATTGCCGGAGGATGAGCTTCTTAAAAGGCATCGGCATAGATCCGGTCCCGTCAGGGAGGACGAATTGCAACCGGGGGAGGGGGAGGCGAGGCTCAACGAAAACCAAACAACTGCATGATCGTGTTTCTGACATTTCGCGGTCTCGATTCGTTTGATGCAAGCGAACAATCACACGCAAACTGTTCCAGCTGCACAGTAATTTTTAGTTCAGGAAGGGAAATCTAGCTCTATGCCCAGAAAATGGATGCCATTATTATTATTATTATTATTATTCGAAATGAAGAGGTGAACAGAGACGCGAGGTAGAGAGGGTATCAGTCTTCGAGTTTGGGCTCCTAATCATATGTTATCGAATAATGTACACCTAAGGGGACACCGTTTCAAACTACTGATTCCAAAGTCTCGACTGGATTGCCGGCGCCAGTCTTTTGCTGTCAGAGTATGCAAATCTTGGAATGCCCTTCCATCTCATGTCGTTTGTGCACCCACTATTGAATCTTTCAAGCAGAGACTCGACAAAATCTTGGCACACCTCACATTCGTACACTAAAGGCAAACGGAAATTCACTGTAGCCTACATTCTCTATCTCCTACCCGGATCTGTATGTGACTCCTTTTTCGATGTGTAACGATTCATCTGTGTAAATATCCTATGGGGCAAGAGAAGCACGAGCTTGGAAGCTATTCCCATAATAAAACTTTGACTTTGGATGATTAACTGGACACAGTGAAAGCTGTGGCAGCGAACCCGTAGCAGTAATCATGTTGTCATTTCGTACCATGTCCGAATGCTTGACGAGTGGTGTATGCAAAGCACCCGGGACGGGGGGGCGGGAGTAGGTATGCTGTACTTAATCTACTCTTATTTTCTCTTCATCTCTTTCTCTCTCTCAAAGCAGGCCTGTCCGAGTACCATCGACCATGTGTGCTTGGCAATGGCCTGTGAAGTGAATTTCGATACATTTCACTGTATGCGGATGATGTCAATTTATTCCGCAGAATCTGTGGGACCGAACAATTGGAATGCGATGAAACTCTTTTCTAATTCTCTTCTTTATTTATTCAATATATACAAATGTGCAATCAACTTTCAGGAAGGGGGCCGTGGACATACAAACGCTGCGTGGGGAAAATATAGCAATGAGAAAGATGAACAGCAGTGGAGCGGTTCGAACCCGGGACTCTCGAGTCATAATTTGATAACCACCGCCCCAGCCAGCATTTTCAACCTATGACAGCGGAGTCGAAAGTTTCCGTCGAAGTGTCATAAATTCACTCACTGTCGCGGGACTGCCTATCAGAATAATACATTGAAACGGATGACATTCGTTTTTTCTCTCATCTTTAACTGTAGCCCAGAAAAGGCTGGGGCGTTTCACAATGAACCGATCTGGTGATTTGCGTGTTTCCTAACTGGCATAGGTTACCGAATGGTGCACAAAAGTCAGCAGAAAAGTAAACCCGGACAATTGGTTTAATCTCGTTAGGGTCTCACCGGAAGCGCGCACCCTGTCGGAATCGGAATCACGAACCGTCCGAGTCGAGAGGTGAAACCGTTAACACACGATCTAAGTAAGGCCAGCACACTTACATTCATGTTTATGCGAAGTAAACGCGTTGTGTTGATTTCCGAAGAATTCACTGTTATTCTGTTTCGCCTGTTCGCCGAGCTTGGCAATTTGTTAGCAAACGTTTCATCACCAGCCGAGGTCACAAGCACTGATGATGATGTCACCACGGCTGGCGATGAAACGTTTGCAAACAAATTGCCACGCTCGGCGAACAGGCGAAATAGAATTCAGTTCACTCGAGCTACGAGACCCGTTTTTTTAATACGTTGTCAATTCACTGTTAAATTTTTATTTAATTTTTAAATTTCCGAATATGATGCATTGTTTGTCACTGATTGGCTTCATCTTCTAGGTGGCAAACACCGGTGCATGACTGAATCCGTATCACTTTATATTCACAAGAATCGATCAATTTGCAGTAGCCTGTGTTTTTTCCTACAATTTGAGATCGGTGATGCTCCTGGCCACCTTTTGCAGTGATCAACTTTATTTGTGCTCCTAAAGTCATTTTCAAGTTCATGTTGGATATCGTTTTATCTTGAAAATAGTAACCAAAGGCTTCCAGACGGTGTAAATCAAAGCATTCGTCATCATAATCAGAAAAGCTAGTAAGTATTTGTCTCCTTCGCCACTGTTTATGCATAAGAACAGAAGTAATCGCTCTACCGCACTTTCAACGGTTTGGTCACGTTTTGTATATGTCTGCACATCGTCTACCCTTCCGTGCTCTTTTTGCACAGGCTGGGCAGGGCTGAAAGATGCGCCGCGGCGGTCAGACCATGACATGGTGTAAGCTTCGTTTGGTGCAACCATCTTGGAGACCAAGGGATTGCCATTGGTAAAGGACGCTGAGAGATATGATCCAGAATCGAAATCAGTGGTGCGAATACTGCACAATGTACCCGTTGAAATCCCGTGCCACGTAAAAAAAAGCGAAAATCCAATATACACAGAAAATATAAAAAAGTGTGCGGTGAAATACGTAAAAAACATATTGTTATTCCTTTTATCTATTGTAACTGTTTAACCTTCTTTATATTCCGTTCTGTTTCCCAATCCGCCCATCCCTTATTTCTGTTATTATTGTCGTGGCGTTGGCGCCGTACTTGTCCACAAGCCGGTGATACATATATATATATATATATTTATGGAGAACAGATTAATTTTTTCATTTTTATCTTCTCTATATAGAATATGCAATTATACTATTCTCCGGAACGGGAAGGCGACCAATCAAACGGGGTCGCCAAACAAAAGATAACAAAGAAAACAGAGGAGCACACAAAATATACAAAAATATACTAAATGAAAGTGGTTCAGAAGTCAATCGTCTCTGTTATGCATCCTGGTGGTAATGAGCTGTACTCTGTGGGGTACCGGAGCGGTATATTGGGCAAGCGTTTGCAGTCTTTTTGGTGGTAGACAGCTTTGCTGTCACCCGGTGCTATACCACAAACACACCTGATCTAGAGGGGCCCGATGTGATTCGCCACTCCAAGTCCCGGATATCAGATTGCCGGTTATCATCACAGAACAGCAGGTGTTCGTGACAATGGGGTTCCACCCTGTATACTGTTCATCAAACACTGGTGAGTAATAAAAACATGTCTTAGCAGCTTGATGTGCGAATCATTCCGCCGCATTTCTTTACTGTCCACAAATGAGTTAATGTAAAGAAGCTTTCAAACCATC